GGCATGCGTACCAAAACGCAAGCCGCGAATATTAGGTTAGCCTGTTACACTTACTTCTTTTAAATTGCCTCGCTTGGTCGCCTCATTAGGAGCACGCTAATTTCTACTACCATAGTGTAGGAAATAGTATAAGTTTACTCTCCGAGAGTGAGGCAAACATATGTATGTATGGTGAAGTTTTGAAACGTCGCATATGTTGTTCATTCGTTCGCTGATAAAGTGATAAAGTGATAAGAAAATCAATGACAAATAAACGATACTCATTTCAAGCAAATGAAAGACATCTAATAAGCCAAACAAAACAAAAGAATATTATGTACTTCAGAAAGTGCTTTTGACACAACCACAAACCCACACCCACACCCACTCTCTCACTCTTGCTCTCCCATAACGCACACTCACCAAATGCTCGCAACTCTCAATTTCTTTAGTTTGGGTGCATGCAAGAATGATAGAATACAAGATTGCGCCGATCAGAGAGGATTTTTGAGAATAACTTTTGTGTGACGTCACACTGGTGCAATTGCGAGAGAGAAATGCTAAAACGTGAGCAAGAATGGAAGAAGAAGAAAAAATGTTGCAAGGAAAACGTAAACAAGTTGCACCAGTGTGACGTCATGCAAACAACGATTCTGTCAAATTCGTTAAGAGAGGAATAGCGGTCCGAGATCGGCGCAACCTTTGTATTCTCTCAATCGTGGGGTGCATGCTGATAAAGTTTTGCCAACTAACTTTAGTTTAAAAAAATCGGTGACCGTTGTGTTGCGTTTGGAGGAGGTCGGTCGGTCGGTCGGTCGTTTTGTTTTTGGAGGTGTTGGTGTGCCATTAATGACAGTGATTGTAATCGATGTGATTGTACATATGTTTATTTATATATGTACATACATACATATGTATGTCTAAATCTCCAGAGATAACGAAACAAAATTGTATGTTTTATTTGGACAAATGTTACGAAGTTTAGGAGAGTAAAACAAAAAACTGTTGACTGCTATTAAAGCACCAATTTGAAAAAAAAAGAAAAATAAACAATTCTTAGTGTGTGTGTTATACTATACATGTATGAATGTACAAAATATGCGCAAATTCTTAAAATAAACGCATTTTAATTGTTTCAAGACTACCTCGTGCTAAAGCACTCACCGGCTGGACGCAGTCAAACGACAGCAGACAAATGTTCAACTATAAGTACCTACCATTAACCTGTATAATTTGTGTGTGTGTGTGTGAGTGTATGCGGTTGATAAGGTAGGCGTGCGTGCTCTAATTTCAAAGCGGTTGCCGCTGAAGTCATTATTTTTGTTTAAAAATAATTAATTAGGAACATTTTTCTCTAATGAAGATTTTAAAGCTTTATGTTCTTAGTACTTTGATTCCTTATCCTTTATAGTTGTCACTGTTTTCTGAAATAATTAGGTATTTTTTTTTTAATTATTATTTTTTGTATTAAAATATCTTTGACTAATCGGTTTATAGAATTTATGATGACTTAAACGGGTTTAGTGGATTTTCATTACGCCCTTGGATTAAATTATGATTTATAATTTCTTATGAATAATACAGAACATTTTCCACACTTTACTTACTAAATCTTTGTATGACACAAAATTTTTGGTTAAAATTAATCATATGTGCATTAGGGTGTATCACTCTTCATAAAAAAAA